AAAAATAATGTCCAACAGAAATTAATAAATTGATAACTAAAAATAACCCGTTAACTTAATAGCTATTGAGCCTTAAATTCTACAAATCAATTAAATATTTTAAATAGAATTAAGGTTTTTGTTTCTTTTAGTAATATTTTACGATATTAAGGAATTTTTAGATTAATTCAAAAGGAAATGCCGTCGTTGATTAGTTCGCCATAATTCATAGAGCTGTCATCGTTAGACCGGTCTTGCTCATTCCGCATGTGGATTAGCATTTAATATGACTTCGATCTCAGCTCTATGTTACATAACACTAGCTGTTGCCCGCGTCTTCGATCGTGTAGATAAAACTACATACCTCAACAAAACTTAGCGATTAATTCATTGAAGAGTTACTTTAAAGAGTCGACACAGAATCCTACTTACTTACTTTAAAAGTATATAGATTTCAATAATTGTTTTGATGTCCATCAATATCAAAACAATACAAAACCGAAAAGTTTTAAAAAGACTTATAACTTTAAAATTCATAATTCGAATAACAAATTTATTCAAGCTCCAATATAGACGAGCTTTTGTCTCAAAAATGCGCTTATTATTAAAAATTAAAAACCCGACATGAAATATATCAAAAACCAAAATGGCCGACCACCTTTACGTACCTAATATAAATATTAGGATCTGTTAAATCGTAATAGGCATTTATCATTCGAATAAAAAGTGAGAAATAATTGAAATACTTTAAAAGATAAATGGATATTAGATAACGAAGTATAATAATACATAAAGTTGATTTACATTAACCTCGTAAATTATTAATATAAAAAAAACATTAGCGATTTTTTAGCAGCGGTAATAAATTCCATACTAGCTGTCGTTCGCGACTCCGTCCCAGCGGGATTAAAAAAATTTCAATAAGTAGTGTTAGGAAGAAAATCCGACATTGTACCGGTGTACTGACGCAACACTAGCCTTACTAAAATGTCGACGTTTATGTCCCCTCACTAATAATTCTGACACTTGACTTTGTAATGAAAACGTGCCATTCGCGCCAAAGGGTTCTAATTACAATGTCTAAAAGTAGCGTATGTGTTCTTCTAGAATATGGTCTACATCTATGCCAAATTTTATCAAGATTAAGCCGTTCCGGTGATACTTTCAAACTTAACAAACATCCATCCATCCATATAAAGGTTCGCATTTATAATATTAGTAAGATGAATGATGAAGATATTAAATAAAACTTTTGATATCATATGTTTTAAATAATGAAACACTCGACGACACAGGCGAAGGTTGCTGTGTTTTTTACTTTCTTCTTTACTCTATTTCATCAGAAGTTAAAGGAAAGTGACGCCTTTAATCCTAATAAGCATATTGACGAGACATCTCTAGCAAATATTGATTATTTAGTATACATTTTAGTCCAATACAGTGAATACAGCATAAAATATAGTTAGAGTATTGTATTGTTAATGAAAATGAGACATGTTTTTTTCTTTTAATTTAATAACAATTGGTAATCTATAGAAGTTAAACGATATTCTTAAATATAGAGCTAAGTAAATTTATGTACCAAACACTATGTTGAAGTTATGGCAAATTGTAGGGACGGTTGACATAACTAATAATTTATTAACCATTTATGTATATATTTGCTTAGATTTATTAGAAAGGACAAGATTGTAATTGATAACTAACACTATAATAATAATAATATAGCCCTTTATTCTGAAATTATTTAACATTATATAGTTACAGGTATTCAAAAGTTTATAAGATGTCTCTAATATCAGTGTGCCCCTTGGCATAGGCCTCCTCTAAACATTTCCATTGTTGCCTGTCTTGTGCTACTCTCCTCCAATATGGGCCGGCTGCCATCTTTATGTCATCCTCCCATCTCAAAGGTCCTCTACTCCTTTTTCCATCTCTCGGATACCATTCTGTTACCGCCCTACTCCATTTCCTCTTGTATCACGCATCATGTGACCCGTCCAACGCCATTTAAATTAGTCTATCCTAGCCAAGATGTCAGGCAATTTTGTTTTAGCGAGCTAAAACAAAACACTATAATAATAGATATTAAATAAACATATCTATAATTGATTCAAAAAATTTATTTTATTGTTCATAATTTCATCTGCAAAACGTTTTGAATAACAAAACATTAAAACCGTTGCCCTTTGAACGGACGTAACATAATCTAGGAAAGGCAAACCGATAAGACTAAAAGTCCGACGGTAAAAGTATCCGATTTCGTGAGGTAAAGTGTCGGAAATTTTAAAAATGACTTCTTAATTAATTAATATCAAAAACGTCGTAAGTACACCGCAGACTGCCGGCCTGTTTGCATAGCAATGTTTGCTAAACACTATTCAAAAAAAAAAAAACAAGCTTTAAAAAAAATATACGAATATGTATGTTACATATACGTATATATGTTACATATACCTAGACAATAGAATAATAATAATAAAGATAGAGAAATATTTTATCAATTAAAAATAAACATTTTAAACTACAAAACATTGTATTTAAAAGAAATTTTATCATACTTGAGGGAAATAAAAAATAATTTTAATAAGAGAAATCTTCAATTTTAATATATCTTATCCATATTTTTGTGTAACAAATATACTAAACTCGTTAAAAAGTAATAAAAGGATAACAAACTTATGTATTTAACATTGCAATTCCATTTGATAAGCAATCATAAATCAAGCACAATAAAGCACTTATACATGTAATAATTTGATAATAAAAAAGTTCACAGGCGGACAATGTTCAATTTTACGTCGTCAAAGTACATAAGGCAAACAATAAGTACTTTACTCGAAGCAACGTTGTTCACTTATTCAGGACTTAACATAGCTACTTTGCATTGAATATGATTATTATCAATCGATGATTCGTACCTCGTATTAAGACGACGCGATGGCCGGTAAACAGAGATTATGAACATTTTAAAATTAGAAATCCTTATAAGCTAAGTGAACAATAAGGCCCACCCTTAACATAGATTTACTATAAGATAGCTGTCGCCTGCAATTCCGCCCTCGTGGTATAAAAAAAACTTACTAAATAGCCTATGTGTGCATCCAAATAATTTTCTAGAACTGTGCCAATCTCAATCCGGTCAATCAAAATCCGTTGAACGGTTCTGGAGATACCTTCTAAAACATCCATCCATATATCCAATTGCATTTATAATATTGAAAATCTGGATGACCGCTTTGCTCGGTATTTTTTTTTTAATTGTGTTTTTTGGAAATTATATTTAAGAACGAATTACTAATAAAATGATGAAATATGAATAATATTTTTCGATCTTACCGATAGAAAAAGTTAAGTTTATGTTTAAGTTGATTATCGATAAAACACGAATAAAATTACCTTTTCTAAAAATGATTCCTAGCTAGATCGATTTATCGCCCCCGAAACCCCCTATATACAAAATTTTATGAAAATCGATGGAGCCGATTCCTAGATTCCAATTATATATATACAAGAATTGCACATTTAAATATATAAGATAAGATCGATACATTTACTATCACATATCTTAGTAAACGTTATGTATTTAAACTTTGATTCAACAAGGAACTTCTATAATACAGTATGATGAAAAAAAAATTAAACATAAGTTACAAGGGCAAAAAAATAGAAAACGGGAAATATACTTTATTTTAATATCACAATACTAAAAACGAAAATTTATAACAACATGGCTGCCTTGATTAAATCATATGTTGAATTATTCAATGCTTATTAAAGTATTTCAAAATTATATTGACATACTAAGAACAGTATTTGCGCGTGGGCCTCGGCCCGTTGATTTTATTTAACTTTCCTTCTTATTTTTATTACCGGCCAGCGTTTACACGTGAAATAAATTTCGTCAGTCGATTTATTTTATTCTTAATTCTAAAGAATTTAAGGATCGATTTATATTCGTGTTAGTTACATTTACAATCGATTTAACTCGAGATTTATGCACACTTGTAAGTAATCGATTTAGTTGGAACATGTTACGTATCTGTTACATTTATTATTAAAATTTAATGATAAAAATTACGTTGAATTCTACAATACATTTTACGAATTTAAAAACCAAATTTTACTAGTAATTCATTTTATTCAACAAAAAGTTGGTGACTTTTTAATGTCCGAAATTGAGCACACATAAACAAAAGCTCCAAAAACACAAAACAGATTTATTTAGTCTTCTTATCGCGATTTATTCACAACAAGAACCTAACACGACTCGGTTGAATGACGATTTTATGTTTTAACAAAAGAACACGACATATAAAATATCGTCCCCAAAATTGTAACCGAAATTACTTTTCTTATAAAAATAATTTCCATGTTAACATTAACAGGTCAAACATTATTGTGTACTTTAGATTTATTTCAGATTTAAATTATGTTGCCTTTTTAAAACCGGTTCTATTTATTTTTGTAAACTATACAAGCTTAGAATATTATGTAAAAATACCTTAATGAAATACGTTATTATATTATAATTGTCTTTAACAAAAAATTTTCAAGTCACAATTTTAGTTACCATCACTCCTTCGAAACGGTTTGAACGAATTTTATGAAATTGTATATACATATTCAATAATTCTGAGAATCGGCTACTATATCTTTTTTAATCCCGTAAACGGAGTCACGGGCGACAGCAATATATAAAACTTATACAAAATGTAATTTTAATGTTTTACTTGATATATATATATAATTGCTGTTTGTAATTAATATTTCCTCTCATATAAAAAGAAACATTACACTAAATAACCTTAATGTAGGAAAAAGTAATCATGATGAAATGCCAATTAATATAATGGTGACAAAATTTAATACCGTAACTAAAACTGGTAAATTAGTAATATAAAATATCTCTCAACCTTTTAACCTCTTTAGAGTAAGCTTTTAATCTATATTTTCAGTAAAACTATTAAATAAAATATTAGTTTAGTTAGAATATTGAACTGGTTAAAATTTTGTACGTTAAAATATAACATTAAAAACAAACGTATGTATTTTTAAATTAAATAAAATGAAACCTCAACATGAAGTTATGGAAAAGTAGCTGTCACCCTAGAATATGTCTGCGCGGAATTAAAAAAAAAACTTCATTGCCTATGTCTTCTTCCAGACTATGTCTAATTTTATTCATGTGCAGCCTGTCTAGCCAGCCTACTGTGATACCTTTATTAAACTTCCATCCATCCATCTGAACATTCTCATTTATAATATTAGGAAAATTAGTAGAGCAAATCATTTAATACTCTGTGAAAATCTTTATTAATATTTAAGAAATCATGAGCTGTTTCTAATAATGCATATATTAATATATTCGTTGTTTCTCAGCAATCTTCACCGCCTATCCAATTGTTCTCTATCTATAAATTGTTATAACGCATTCTCTATTATATTATGCGGTTCGAAACTATCCTCGGTTCGATTCCCGTTGGCCGCTCTTAGTGGTTTTTGTTCAGTGTTTCTTCAAATCATTTTCTTGTCAACGTTTCTCCATAATGATAGATAACTGAGAGGGGGTATTCTCAAACGTATTTACTATTGTCTATTGTGTAATGCTGATTGTAATTCCTAACTAGTTTTCTTTACTTCTAATAAAACCGCGAGTTTGGTTAAAAGCTTAAAAGCTCTTGTCTTATAATGTAAAAGCTTACGCCCGACGGATTTAAAGAAACATAAAGATTAGTAGAGTCTAATTCTTGCATGGTAGTTGAATAGTTAACATTGTCTTAATTGAATTAACGTATAAAAATGAATTCATTTGAAGTTGAAATCATATTTAGCTTACATTTTCATTGGAAAATGATTAAACTTAAACGAACATACCGGACGCGTTGATGTCTAATTTATGTCATGATTACAATCAACGTATTGCAAGTGTTTGTGTCAAAACTATTCAAAATAGATGTTCGTATATAAGTAGACTTGTACCATCTTGGATTACAAGTTTAAACGTTAAAGAAAATAATGACCAACATGTGACTTTTTGTGCTTTCCTTTAACGTGACTATTTTAATGTTTTCCATTACCTTAGTATTGATTTTCGTCACTTATAAATATATTAATCGAGTACGACACTATATTGTAATATCACAGGTGTATAATGAAACGAGAATCGAGGCGACGTTGAGAAACTTGAAGCCTTAACTTAGCCGAGCTTTAGCAACACGGCCAGCTAACTTTCCCGCTAAGCTCGCGCCCTAAACTCTATCGAAACATCGAAAGTGAACCAACCTCCAGAATCCTCAACACAACACAGTTTCGTTCACAAACATAATCAATTCCTCTTTTTTATCTCAACTTTTTTTAGGAAATAACCCGATACGAGAACACTAATGCACAAATGATTGCAATTTCTTTTGTTATTAACACAACACTGCAATCCGAATACACGGTTTACGTTATTTTGATAATGTCGACACTTTTAAGTTAACACTTTTGTTGAAAACGTGTTTTTGTGCGTTAAGTTTAGAGTCGCGACAGAGCGGCCGATCGCGGCCGAGACACCGAAGGCACTAGCGCGCCCGCCGCCCGCCGCGCCCCTCGCCCCCGGGACGCTCCCCCCTCATAACAGGTTGTGCTCGGCGTTCGCATACCGTTTGAACGCCAATTTCGTAGCTCCTCTGGATAGGGACGCATGATCCGCTCAGCCAATGATAAAAGATAAAGCCTTCGACAATTATATTACACACGTTTCACATACATTGTTTTATATTTTTTTAACATTCGTCAAATAAAGATATAAAGATATACGTTCTCAAATTACAACATACTACTAACATAATTCACTCTAAACCACGTGCGTTATGATTCCTACAATATAAGTAAATTGAACACTTGAAATTTAACAATATTGTGCTTTGAATTGACTGAAAAGTTGTTAATTTAATTATACTTACATTTTTTTTCATCCATGAAGTATTGTGTTCTTTGCAGTTGATTAAAAGGGCTTGATATTAATCCTTAACTTAAACGATTTCATTTTCTACGAGTAAAAGATTTCAACGCGTGCGATATCTTGGCATCAGATGAACATAAAACCATTCAATCATTTTTGCTTATGTCTTTTTTACTTATGACATTTACGTTTTTTTAGACGTTAAAATACGACAATTATTATTCCGTCCCAGTTTACTTAAAAGTTTGCTGTATCGTCATTAGAAATGCTGAAAGACTTTTACCGACACTGAATTGTCCCAAATGTTTAAAAAGAATATTAGACTACTAGCTATTTTTTTAAGTATAAACTGAACATCAAGTTAAAGCACAACAAGCATGAAAACATTGAAAGTACAATTCAAGATGTCATCAATACATACTTAAGTACTAAAGTTACACGGCACCTTACTCTAAATGATGAAGATATTGCAAAAGGACGAGCAAAGCTGCGCCTGCGCCTGCGCGTGCGCGTGCAAGCACTTACATTGTTGTCCGCAATCGCGATGTAGCGTGGCTTCAATTTAATTTACAATCACAATTTTCTATTGTGATCGCGAGAAATATGCGATGTAGCTAAGTTACTTTTTAATATTACAACTAATTTCAGTTTTCACAAAATTATAAATCGATTGATTTACATTGCGAAAATTCGGTGTATAAATTAGCACGATATAAAGACATGAATTGAGTACCAGATGACATTTCATCAAATGGGTAGGAAATTAACTTCCTCGACTGTAAACGAAAATAGAAACACATTGATACATAGCGGGGATCTTTAATGGACCTTTAGATTAACAGGTTTTTAACCACAGCGCAACCAAATCTCCGTATATAAATACCAGTAAAATTAGATGCTGTACATCAGCTCTGCGCCAAAAATTGTATTCATACATTTTTTTCTCACAATTTTCTACTTGTCCGTGGCTCAACCTCAATATGTTTCACAATACAAAAAAAACGTTTGATTGTGTTGTTTTCTCATTCCTAGACCACATGACAGATTTACTTTGATATATTCTTTAAATATTCATTAAATTTTGATGGTTTGCTGGGAACTTTTTTTTCTAATTTATTGTCTAATTGCTATCGCCCGCGACTCTGTCCTCGTAGAATGGAAAAAAACTTAATCAGTTCCCGGCAATTATTCGAATTTATTCTCACCTTTTAAACCTTCCCTAGACGTCCGTTAACATTTCAAGACCACGACAAGACAAATCCGTTCAGCCAATCTCTAGTTTTAGTGAGACTAAAGAACAGCAATTCATTTTTGTATATTGTCTATAATTGCTGAATATGGCCATTGTTACATTGCAGTACTGACTTCTTTTTAAAAACATCCTTTATCAGTAATTACCAAACTAAATGTCATTGCGGAGTTGCAAAATTTCATCAATTGATAGAGACTATTATTTATGATAGTTGTTAAAAATTTTAGGGATAAAAGAAAACTTTTATAAAACTGTACACATTTATTTTACTAGAGGTAAATTGTAGACAATTCCAAATATATTAGTATATTTTGTTACTAATACAAGAAAATTACAAATAATATTTTCATTTACATTGTATTTAAGATGTTAACTGTTTGGCAGTTGCCACCAACTCGCTTTGCAAGTTCATTTTAATACTAGAAATAAAGATTGAAACAGATATATGACCTATAAATACCTAATCCAGATAACATAAGGTGAAAACAGGCTCTTCGGAGACATTTTGTTGTGCTAAATTCACAAAAAAGTATTATTAAGGATAAGAGGATGCATTGGAAGTGAAAATATTCTCTTTCTGTGCATTCCCCTCTCTGTCGATCATAGGTACGCAATACATGTGAAATTGCATATGTCTATGAGCAATGGTTGTTTCGCTATTTCAGCATTTCAGGTGGTTGCTTGCTTGTTTGCCACCTTTTGATATAAAAAAAAGAGTTACAACATAATATTTTGTCATTTAACTTTTGATTAGACATGAAACTTCTATGAAACACTTCATCTATAGGTTATATATTTATAAAATTTACTGAATGTGTTAAAAAAAACTTTGCACAAAATATTTAATACACTGCATATCCATAATAATGTAAATTCACTTACAAACATTATTAAATTCAAAATTAAAAGGTATATTGGGCCAATACATTGGCTGGTCTTTGTCAATTTCATTAATAAATTGTGATTGCATTGAAACTTCTAAAGCTGATATTCTTTGCCAATAACTTCCATACAACTCTTTTAATCTTTGTTCCTTTTCTTCAGAAGTCTCTAATTTTTCTTGCACTATATCTAATTCTTCTTGTTCATGTTTTGCTTTTAAAAGCTCTCTTTCCCTTCTAGCATCTTCTTTATACTTAGCATTTGCCGCCAAAAACTCTATAAATTCCTCACTTACTTCAAAATCCATTTCATCAGCACAGGCTTCGTAAGTTTCTACCTCTCTCTCATTGTTAGCACTCGACTCTTCATTTTCTGAACACTCGTTTGTCTCTATTTCAGAATTAACACAATTATCATCGACATAATGATTCTTCCTAATGATATCATGCAAAACTTTATTTTCGTACTCTAAACCAATAGCCTTCGCCTTCCAATACGCTAGCTGGTGCTTCAATTGCCATGTTGAGGCCACAGCAAAATTTTCCGCCCATAAACTCATCGATATGGATAACTTTGAATTCTTTTTCCTTATTTCTTTTCGGCCCGGTTTTTGGTTACTGTTGGACTTTTTTTTACGTTTTCTTCGCGGTTTTTTGTGTCCTACCCCTGCTTCACATTTATTTTGAGTTAGTTTGTCGGGTAATTGTTGTGACATCTTTTAGTTTTAAAAACTGTCATCTGTCGTGCTCGTGTACTTGTCAATTTGACAAACTGTCAATAACTTAGTAGACCTAAAATCAAAATAAAATCAAACGAAAATAAGAAATCTTTTCAGATATTATTTTGCGGAATTACTTTTTTATTAGACTAGCTGTCACCCGCCAAAACGATCGCTCTGTATTAAAATACTAATCAGTAGCGTACATTATGTTCTTCCATACTATGCTCTACATCCATCCATCAAGATATAATACATTAAGCCGTTCTGAAGATATCTTCTAACAAACACACGCCCATCCGTCTACCTAAACATTCGCAAATTTTATATTAATTATATGTATTTATCCTGAGTTGCAGTTGCATGCCCCAACCAAGTCCCAACATTGGATTACTATTGCATTTCAAAATATATTTAGTCGATCAATCAAATCAATACTTATTATGAAACTACTGATAGGTCCCGAACAACTAAATTTTTGCTTGACATACACAGAGGTAGGGTTTACATTTATTGTGAAAATTTACTCTCAACATGCTTCAAAGTAAGCGAATACTGAAACCGACTTTTTAAATTCATAAAATAATTGCAACATACAATCAGAGCTGGTAGCACTGGTGTTTTAAATTATGACATTGACATATTATGTATACTTCTGTCAAATGCTGTCTGATGTTATAAAAAATCGATAACATTGTTTTCTGTTTTGCAAGATTTACAATTTTTTTAAAGAATTAATTCACCATGAATCGCTGCCGTACATGTTTAGGTAGTGACAAAGAAATGAGGCACGTACATACAAAAATTTCCATTTCTGGCGAAAGTGTATCATTGTCAGATATATTATTAAATTTTTATAGTTACAAGGTGATTATGAAAACATTGCATTAAATTTATTGAAACTTGCATATATGATTAATCTAGGTATTTATTACAGCTCACTGAAAGTGCACTGCCAGAGAATATTTGTATAAATTGCGTTCACCAACTTATTTTGACTTACTCATTCAAAATTTTAATCGAATCAAGTGCGAAAACATTGGCCGAAAGCAATGTATTAAATTCAACAAATGAACATTTTGAATGTAGTTTAGAAGCAGATGATGATTACGATGTACAAAAACATCATAAAAAGAAAAAGTTACTGAAAATTAGAAAGCCTACAGGTAATTCTGAATGCCAGTCCAACAATCTATACTGTGTTGAATGTAAAATGATGTTCAATTCCGCTAAGGTGTTGCATGATCACTGTTTAAAAAATCATCCTGTAAAAAATGTCATTGGCAGAGAATGTGAATATTGTAATGAGAAATTTGAAGACTTTCGTTCCTTAGTTCAACATAGAAAATTACATTTAAAACCATATTTATGTGAAAACTGCTGGGATGGATTCTACAATGTTGAAGATTTGCAGACTCATTTCTGCCAACCAAATATCAAAAATAAAGATAACAATAAACCTGATAAGAATTTGAGACAGTGTGACCAATGCGGTAAATCTTATCCACCAAGCTATATTAGAATCCATATGTTAACTCATAGCAACGATCGTCCGTACAGTTGTAAATACTGTCCAAAAAGATTTAAAGTCCCTGGAGGACTACATTCACATATTCTATGGAACCACAAGAGGGTAAGGAACCACAAATGTGAAGTGTGCAACGCTACATTTATTTCGTCAAGTTCTCGTAGTTCACATATCCGTAAGAGTCATTTAAAAGAAAAGAAATATGGTTGTGAAAGTTGCGGAAAGAGGTTCTTCTCAAAGTCAGAATTGCAGCGACATTCTCTAACACATACTGGTGTCAAAAACTTTCACTGTCACTTATGTGTCAAGTCATACCAAACAAGATATGGGTTGAATGTTCATTTAAAATCACATACAGCGTGTAGTGTATAATTGTGTTATTATTAATTAATTTGTTGACTGTACATATCATGAAGTAG